GAGGCAAGAAGTCATGACTGTTGGATCAAAATTCAGATTTAAGTAGAATAATGATGCTTTGAATTTTATACTTTTTTTGATAAGTTTGTATTTGAATTTTAAATTATGAATTAGAATAAGTTCTTCTATAATTATCTCTTCATTTGAAGTTATCTGGTTTTTATTTATTGATAAGATTTCCTCTTTAGTTGAGTTTGTCTAGGTTGGATAAAGACTTATTTCTGCTGTAATGGCCTATAAATAGGCCAAATTCTTGCAATAAAATTCAATTCCAATTCCCCCAAACCCCTCTCGTCTTCTTCTTGAAAGATCGTTAGGGATGTTAGGCCCTCTTGAACTTAGTCCCAAGCTAATTAAAGAGAGAGGTGAATTGGAAAACTTTAAAATCAAAACACAATCCAAATCACCACAATAATAAATGCGGAAATCATAGATCCGCAACACTTCTCTCCTCCCTACGGCCAGTGGCCTCCCTTAGCGGTTTTGACAGCCAACTACAGCACCAAGGTCACCCAATTTTGCTACCAGTGCTGTCTTGTTGCCTTCTGCAAGTGCCAGAAAACTCGTTGGCTGCCTGCCAGCACCTTCCAGACCTGCAGCTGCCTCCAGGAGGTCTTTAGGTGCTGTACTGAACTAGCAGAGTAGGGAAATAGGGATCTTGCTTGTTGTCTACAACAAAACAGAGAAGAAATCATCACTTTGCTTCTGTTATATATCAGAAGAAAACGGCCAAATGTCGCTCTGATCCAGAGTAAATTACAATAAGATTATCTTGCTGAACGGCAAAGAAGATTACCTTTTTTTTTCAAGACGCAGATTAGGGCAAGAAAAGCAGAATCAGAGAGGGAAATTTGTGGTCTACAGCATGAACAAGGCAAAATAAAAAAAAGGAGAAGCTATATACAACAATAGGTTAAACATGAGGTGCATTTATTTTGATTTATTGATCATCTGGGATCCTTCCTAATCATTTTCATATCTATTCAACTTCTTATTGTGAACTCACATCATAACGGTAAGAGGTTAGAATCACATCAGGTTTGTATCAAAATACTCATACTTAGTGTATGGTACAAACGAACAGAGTGTATCATGCAACCAAAGATTCTCTCATTGTTCTAGATTTAGACCAAAAGAAAACAAAGAAGCAAAACCTAGAAACATTGATTGAAAGAGTCCTCTCATGATCTAGCCGAATAAGTGGCTAATTTATCCAAACAAATATCTGTGTCTCTACGATGATAGAATGGATGAAAATGCACTCCACTACCATCACATCGTATCATAGTTACCCTACTCGCAATATTCCTTTTGATTCCATACCAATAATAAATGTTCTTCAACAAATGCTAGCAATATGGAAGACGCTAATGAGAATTAGGAAAAGGATGTCGCTATGATAAATGAAGGAATAGAACTTTTAAAGTAGAAAGTCAAAATGGTGATTCCCACTTATGATATGTGGATGGACCAATTAGAGACAACTTCATTTTGTATGGGTAAGATGCTATTGATGGTGTTTGCTCTACTTAAATTAAGCCAAAATGTTTTAAATATGTGGAACTTTCACTTAATAGGAAATGGTCATTAGGAAACAACCTGTGAGTAGTTTAAGAGATTGATATATTGCAAGTCTCATCTGATATGTTATGTTGGTGATCTGTGAAATAAATAACATAGTATAAGACAATGCCAAGGATAATTTATGCATGGTTGCACCACAAAATTTATAAGAAAAGCGGTCACTTTGAGAGTTAATCTTGAGGATGTATGAATTATATCATTAGTCTTTTCTCTCAAATAACTAATAAACTTTGTTTTCTTCCCATCTTAGACATTAAACAGGGTAGTAACATGGCAATGTCCATAGAACGAAAAAAAAAAAGGTAAAGGGAAGTGTCCTAAGAACCATTCTCTTATAGAAAGAAGGAAAAATGGATCAGCGATGGTTTTTCTTCTTACAACATCAATTTCTGGAAAATTTTGTGATCATTGCAAAGTAGTTTGTCTCATCAAATAAATATGCTAGAAATTGCCTCTTGGACTGTTTTATGATAAAATGAAAAAAAGAAGATGGAAAGGTAACTATTTTTGTAATACATTCTATCATGTTGAGTCCGATGTACAAGGTAGACTCAAGGCGGATTGGTCTATCTTTGATGGCATTAACAACAAAAGATATACTAGCAAGGTCATCCTTCAATAAGAATACATAAGAATTGTTGCACCTTGAGAATATAAGTTTATTAAGTTGGTGATCATCATCATTGACACTTGTAGCTAGAAGAATATCATTTTTGCTAATTTGGTGCAGAAATTTAACACGCCTTGGATCATAATCAGCTCTTCTCCTTTCAAAATTCAACCCATCTCCTTTCAAATTCAGCACTCCTTCGATCGTAATCACCCCCTCCCCTTTCAAATTCCACCTCTCTCATTTCCAATTCAGCACCCCTTCATTCATGCCCGACCTCCTCACTCCTCTTCCCATACCCTCTACTCAACTTCGCCCTATGAATAGGCTCCAGAGGGGGCATTCTCTCTTCTCCCTCCAAATTCTCCACCTCATGATCTTCCCTTTGCCGTATTGGATTAGGATTTTTCCCACTTCCTTGGCGGCATACGACTTCTCTGGACTCTGATGAGGTCGATTTAGTTTGACCCTCGAGCAACTTCGTCAACATCTCCTAAGGATGTAAATTTTCCTACAAATCTTCTCGTAGACGGTTGAAATTTGACTTTTAAAATCTTAAAATTGAGTTTGAAGATCTAAAATTTCATATTTCAATTGTACGATCTCTCCTTCCAAGACTTCTACCTTTCTTCCTGCCATAGGTACCTGAATTTAGGCTCCAACAAAAAAAAAAAAAAAAAAAAAAAAAAAAAAAACAACTTTGATGCAAATCTGGCCTCCAATCAGTATAAAACAACAAGATTGGAGAGGAAAACATAGTAGAAATCAACGAGGAAGACTTCTATTCCAGCCCAGGAAACTGCTCTGATTACCAATTTGATAGGAAGTGCTCGTAGAAGTCCACTATTCCTTGGCTGAAATTTAATTTCAGCAGCCCCAAACACAATACCCATGAAGAATTAAGAAGAATAACCAGTGATTTTTTTTTTTCAATTGATGATATAAGGAAGAAAACAAACAATATAAAATGGATCTTCAATTAGAGATGAAGATCCGGCTCTCCTAAATCCTCCCTAGCTATCAGCTAGAGCCCAAACATCCTAAGAACAGTCCAATTTCAGCCAACAACACAATCATAACCCTAGGAAAACAACCTACTCAAAGCAAACAATAATGATGTAAATCCCAAAATAACTCCTTTGAATTTACTCTCCTAGCCAATACTTAATTTCCTTCTTCAAATGGCTGCTAGAGCCCACCCCAAAAAGGGGCAGGAGTTTGAGGCGGAATAGGTTCGCCTCCTGTAAGGTCGGTCCCTCCTGACCGGCTGGACCTGTCTCATAACTATAAGAGTTTAGCATTGCATCACAATAAACTGTTAGAATTTTCATAAATACAGTTCTTTTATGAACGAATCATCCAAAGAAAATGACATTTGATCACATATTTATTGCATCGTCAATTCTAATATGACATGTGATAACGTCCAAATAAAGCTGGTAATGACATGTAAAATGACTGTATCCTGCATAAATGCAAATTAGATTTGTACTTCTATTCTTCCTCTAATTCTCTCTCTTAATATGCTTGTTTCTTGACACACTCCAAAGTTTTAAGCCTTGCAAGCATCCATCTAAATCCATATCAACAATAGCACTGGCGCATCTAATTTGAGAACTTACACAATGATTTTGTGATGCTTCAAGAAACTAAAGAAAGCATCCCTGATATACGGTATGTATAATGTGATAGATAAGTTGTGTATATTATTGTGTTGAACTAGTCAAATCAACTGAAATTTTATGGGATTTCTTCTATGAAAATTTATAAATCGTAATTAGGCCACTTTGTCATATGTAGCTACTTGTTAGGGAGTAAAAAATGAATTGATATATAAGTTGAGCATAGCAAAAATGAGGAATTTAAGGTGGATGCATGATAAAATTAGGAAGGATAAATTAAGAAATGATAAATGTTAGAGGAATAATTATAGCGACATTTGTTAAAAATAAGATAATTGAAAAAAGATTTTGGTTTGGACATTCACAATGAAGAGATAAAAATGTAACCTTGAGATATTGACTTTATAGCTAAGGTTAAATGGATAGAAGTTATCAAATTGATTTATAAAGAATATGTTTAATGCATCAAATAACACTGGGTAGTAATGAATGAAATTCGAGGACTCGTAAAACAGATTGATGATGATGATATCATGTAATGTCTAAAACAACTTCCATGTTTAGATTATATATTGATTATAGTAGTATACTAAGTGAAGGACAGTATCCTACATTCATTTTTTATCCTTGTTATCTTTAAATTCAATTTTTTGTGATACAATTATAAATTTAAGATCAAGGCCTTTCACGTTGATCCACAACATAAAAAATCCAGCGTTCAATCTGATCAACTTTTATGAAGGTTTTTAACCTTGTTTTAAGTTTTTTCCAAACATCTATCTTAAAATTTATTTTAACCTTCTCCATATTTATCTTGTCCATATCCCATGTGGATGTCTAAGCTTCATAGCTGTAAGTTTTGCAGTTGATTACATTCTGCATGCATATGCGCATTGTGTTAATCTACCTATTTAAAGCATGCAAATGCATAACTTTTACTAGACAACACTTGCTTCTTTGCATAGATTAATTATTATGTGCGGCCGTCGAACGTCATTCAGAGACTAACCAGAATGCGTCATGTCATCCTGTGTTCGGTACCGCAGCTTGGTACTACTCTGTATTGCTCCATATCGGGGCTCGGTACTGTTGATGTGACGCATTTTGGTTGGTCCCGATCTCCGCACAGAATAATTTCTCATGTGTATAAGCCGTAATGAGGTTCCTTTGTATATTCCCTACAGGTGCATTCTTGGGTTGCTCACTCGAAGGCAGTATGCTAACCACAAGAACATTGGAAAATTGCCGCTTCTATGGTTCTTCAACAATTAATGCTTCGGATATCCTTCTTGGCACATTGCCCAGGCCTCCTGCAGCCGCTCTTCTGTACAATGCTCTTTCTGATTTATTCCAGAAGCTGAAAACCTGATCAATCAGTTAAGTTTGATTAGCTCCTCATATGCCACTGAATATTTGACTCTCATCTTTCATGGATCAGTGTTGATTTTGCTTATCCATTTTCATCCCAATTCTTTGGTTTTCTGTAAATATGCAAGCTTCTTAATGCATGTACAGTTAAATAACGAAAAAAAGTTTGATTTTTCTATAAGTAAATTATTCTGTATTGATTGAAGTGGCTATAATAATCAACTAGTGGCAGATTTCTTTTTAGCGTTTGTTGCGGTGGCAAGAATTTAAGAGCATGTCCTTTGACAGAAATTATTTTATGCGGTTACCAAACGGCTTGTAGGGGCAAACGAAAATGTTGTCGTGTACCGCTCAGTATCGGGTGACGTGATGCATTTTGATTTTGCCTCTGGATTGTTTGATGATCGCACAGAATAATTTCTCATCCTTTGGATATCCTAAAATTCATGAAAAAAATTATGGAAGAATATCCTAATACAATTTATGTTAAAATTAACTTAAGAGGTCTGTTTTTATGTTGAAATTAATGCTTATATATAACATCATGAATTAAGTTTGGTTTGGGAAATTTTTTTTTAATGTTTTATAAAGTTAATTTTTAGTATAAAAATTTCTTGAAAGTAAAAAAAAATTGTGATATAAAATTATATTATTATTTTATGGCTGAATTTTCCATTAAGTGATGGAGCAATGATTTTAGTAGCAATTTAATTCTTATTTTGGTGTTTCATAGTTGAATGAAAATTTGCATTAGTAATGCTGTATTGCTGAGCTCATAAATTTAAAACCTTGATGTGCTGACTTATAAAGCTAATTTTTAGTATAAAAATTTTTTGAAAGTAAAAAAAAATAGTGATATAAAATTATCCCAAACGAAGGTCTTTGCATGAATTTTATTATTATTATTATTTTATGGCTGAATTTTCCATTAAGTGATGGAGCAATGATTTTAGCAGCAATTTAATTCTTATTTTGGTGTTTCATAGTTGAATGAAAATTTGCATTAGTAATGCTGTATTGCTGAGCTCATAAATTTAAAACCTTGATGTGCTGACTATTTGATTGAGGTTTTGTTTGAGATATTTTTTTATTGCTTCTTAAAGCAGTTTTTTTAGTATGAAAGTTAAAATTTTTGTACTAAAGAATTATTTTAAGAAACAGGAAGAAAACCGTTCCAAATGAAGCTCAAAACTTATGTGATAATATTCTTCAATATTTTAATTTTTTTTTAATGTGGCAGTTATTTTTTTGTTATTTTTATTATTTTTTTAAGAAATGGTATAGTTTGAGATTACCATTCAGAATATCTTTCTCTCGTCAATTGATGGTAGTATTGGACTTTCGCTTGACCATCGTCGGATAACCGTCTGGCCTTCGACCGCTGCCGGACTTCCACCCAGCCTTGACAGGCACCAGACTTCCACCCAGCCACCACTGAACTTTTGCCCGACCATCGTTGGACCATCGCCAGGTAGCTGACCGCCCCGGAATTTCAACCGGCAACCGACCGTCACCGCACTCCCACCCGACCATTGTCAGATCACCGCCTATTGGCCGAACTTCCACCACGAACAACATTAAACTTCCGCTCAATTCTCCAAACTATTGTAATCCCACCGTCTGTAAGTCAAGAGACGGATCAACCTTTACAATTCATTCAAATTTAATGGAATCTTTTCATCAAGGCGAGAACTCGTGATTTTCCCTCTTCGGGTTTACCACATTAAAAAGATCTTGTGTTTTACTCTCTCTGTCTCTCTCTCTCTCTCCTTATCACATGTTTGTTTGTTGGATATTCGTACATCGCTAAGATGAAAAATTCACTCATTATGTTGCCGCGAATATTCTAGCCTGCAATAGGGTGTTCCTTGGAAGTCACGTGCTATATGACCTAAATACAATGAAAAGTGTGTGCAACCTGCTGTATTGGCACTCAGGTGCAATGTAAATAAGCATGGGTTTCCACGTTATGTATAGATGCATGCAAAAAAAGTTAGTCCATGAAACTAGAATTAGAATATAAACTTGAAATAAATTACTATTGTTGACATATTGTTGGAATTAATATATACTATGATTCATAAGAAGATAAATATTTTATGTATTTAGGAAACTAAATGGGTTTGAAAAAAATTAAGGAGATTGATAGTTTATAATTTAAACTATAATAATCATATACAATTCGTACTAGAAATGATATACGTGTGATAATAAATAAACATTTAAAGAATAATATCATATAAATTAGTAAAATTAGAGATAGAATAATAACTTTAAAGATTGTCATTGATGTTAAGATTATTAAACATATTAACTTTTGCTCCTCAAGTATATTTGAGTATGTGTTAAAAAAAATAAGAATAACTTAGAATAATTAATACAACTGGTATCTTTTAAAGTTAAGAACTTTTATTGGAGGAGATTTAGGCTTCGTTTGGGACGGCTTTTTCATTGCTTTCTAAAACGGAGTTTTATTACAAAAATAAAAAATTTTATACAAAAACTCTGTTTTAGAAAGCAATAAAAAAGCCATCCCAAACGAAGCCTTAATTGAACATGTTGGTAGAGTGGTAGAACATTTAAAAAAAAAATTTATGGTGGCTATGAGTTTGAAACTACATATGAAAGTGGTAGGATCATTGTAGATTTAGTTATAACTTATGATTTTGTAACTTATGATTTATGTCCTAGAATGTCGGCCATTAAAGAGAAACATAAAATTAAGTTAAGTGTTGCAGAGATGAGGATGCTCAGGTGGATGAGTGACTTTATTCTTAGAGGTAGAATATAAAATGAGCATATATGTGAAAAAGGTTGGAGTAACTCTAGTGGTTGCTAAGATTAGACTCACTTTAGATGGTTTGCTTAAATATATATAAAACCCCGACCTTCCGATGACCCTGTTAGAATAACAGATGTATTAGATCTGAACTATATTAAGAAAGGTAGAGGTAAACCTAAAAAACTTGTTAGTATTAAAATAATATTTTTTTATTATGTATAAATAAGAATTTGACTCTTAATATGATAGATTATAGAAATAATATGTATTATATTAAGAAAGGTAGCAGTAGACCTAAAAATCTTTGTTTATATTAAAATATTCTTTTAATTATATTTAAATAAGAAATTGACTTTTAATATAATACAACAGAGAAAAAAAATTCATGTTGGTAGGATAAAGGCATGTGGTTCTTGTTGTTGTGTTAATTTCCTATTTTACATCTTAGATCTGAGAAGTAAAGATACAAATATTGAGATAGTCAAAGTGTGCATAGCAAAATATTATGTATAAATTGCTTTAAAGGGTGAACCATTACTCTAGGTTAGATCTCCAAACTATTTATGATTCTGATAAACTTGTTCGTCCAGAGAAAAATCAATTTTTTAGTATAAAATTTTTGTATTATAAAGCTGCTTTATAAAATAATAAAAAATCTATCGCAAGGTCTAAATATAATTAACAAAGTGTTTTAAGATGTATCAAAATACGCTCTTTGATAATATATCTAGTTTTACATTACATATCGGTTAGAATGACCTAATTTACGCTATCTGATGAAATTTTGAAAAAAAAAATAATTAATGGTCATGTATGTATGTTGAAGTCGTCAATGAATGAAGTTGGTATTGTTCCTCACGAGCGAAGAAACTTTGATGATGATGGTAGATGAAGAAAGCAGAAGTTGAAATGTTATGACATCTTACCTCTTAGAGCATCTCCAATCGAAAATCTCATTTTTCACTCCAAAATGCCGTGATTCATCTCCAATCGAACAACATTTTTCACCCTTTTGCATGTAACGGTCCCCTCTTCTTTCCCGCGGCAGATTCGGTAGAGAGGTAAAAATGACGGAGATGAACAGTGCAACGTCAATATTGATGTCCCACTGTTCACCCGCAGCTAAATAGCGAAAATTTTGCTGTTCGGCTGGAGCTGGCCAGGAACTTCATTCAAGCATTTGGAGTTCGGTTGAAGATGCCCTTATATGGTGGAATACGAGTATTGAATATGATATTTTAATCTGAAACAAAACTTTTAGTACGACCATAAAAGCAAATGAATATATCCAAATTCCAAAGTGTACATAGCTGAATGTCTTCCCTGTATTACAAAAATATGAGTATAACATGGTGATATTTTAGTCTAAGATATATTTAATATATATATATATATATAATATTTTAGAACATATAAACTCATATTTCTCAATTATAATGTCCAATTCTCATAAATAACTCTCTTCCTCTCAATTTTGAATGTTAAACTTTTATTGAGATAATTTTTTTTACTATTTTTTAAAATAATTTTTTATACATTTTTTTTTAAATTAGAATTTAGAAGCATAAATACTTCAATAAAAATTTTAAAAAGTTTAATAAATAAAAACTTTAAATTCACGTGGCGTTATCCGGGCCTTCTAACGTAAAGCACCCAATCCAATAATAAGAAGGGATTAAAAACTCTAATTCATGTGGCTGCTTCGAAATTCCACGTTACCTTCTGATTCTTCTTCTTCGTCTTCTCGGTCTTCTTCTCCCAGTAGTCAAAGAAAAAGCTCGGCTTTTCCTTCCAGCTTTCTAGAAATCCTGCTCTTCTGCGAAGTAGGGGAATGTTCTCGTTCAGAATATTTGTCAATGATGATATTTCTCTCACTGCTTCATCGTCGGGGAAAAAAATTGACAAAAAAATTGATATCGACGATAAAAACGCGCGGCTTTTCCTTCCCGCGTTTCGCTGATCCCTTATTCCCGAAGCTTCTTTTGTTTTTATTAGGGGTTTTACAGCACCTATAAAGCCGCCTAATAAATCTCAAGTTAAATGCCGAAAGATTTCAGAGGCAGCGGTGATTGATTTCCATTCGGTTGGAGTGGATACGATTGATTTATGTGGATAAGCTGGTGCAGATTTGGGAGCTCGATTTTAAGGAATGGAAGGTTCTCATGGAGGTTCGAGTTCTCCAGCTCCTTTTCTCACCAAGACTTATGACATGTTGGATGATCCATCTACGAATTCCATCGTTTCATGGAGCACATCAGGTTGCAGCTTCATCGTTTGGAATCCTTTGGATTTTGCTAGGGATTTGCTCCCCACATACTTTAAGCACAATAACTTCTCCAGTTTCATTCGGCAGCTGAACACCTATGTAAGTGCTTCGTTTTTTTGTCTGTTAATTCACGAACTCTTCAAGCACAGGAAAAGCTCTGTTTTTCAGTTGGTTAGCAGTTAAAATTAGCTACTTTGCATGATAATTCTTTGGAAAGCTATGAATTGAACTGCTTGCTTTTATTTAAATTAGGTCATTTAGCTCATTCTCCATGCTTTCTTACAGCGTTTCATTCTAAGAAAAAAAGATAAAAATAAAAAATAATGTTGTGTCTAAGCGGAGAAAATATATAATAATACCGAAAAAAAAATATCTTCACCAGTTTTTAACTCATAGTAATGCTTAAATATATAGTTGAGTCGATTCTTAAAGATGCTCCATGTATATTAGCTTGTTAAGCTCGTTGATGTAGACGACTACATGCCAGTTGATTATAGAAGGTTGCCTTTTACTTTTGTTTGTTTCACAAATGCTGTGCACTGGTGTGATTTGTTGCTTTACCTGTGTTATGTGGCTTAATTGTTGCAATCTTTCTTGCTTTTAATGAATTTGCGAGTTTTGTCATCCATTTGTTCAGTATATGATATCGTGTTGCAATGGCAGTTCTTATTTGTAAAGTCAAGAGTTCTAAAAACCCATTTCTTGTTATATAAGCTGAATGAGTAGAACACTATTTAGCTGACTGATACCTCTCCAATCCCCATCTTAACACTCTTTCCTTAGGTTCTCCAATAAATTAGCAACTAGCATTGGTCCATTTAAAGATTTTTTTTATAAAATTTGCTAACTCTTTTCTTTCTTATTAGAGAACAATTCAGCTCATTTAATGGAAATATGGTAAGCAGAAAGCACTGAATTTTCTTGGATAGATTCCTTGAGTTTTCTTGTTTGTAAAAGGTATAGATTTATTGGTTGCGATGTTTTGAATCCACATGTTTTTTTTTTTTACTTGGATAGATTCCTTCTTGGTCCATTTTTGGACTACAAGATGACCTTCATAGAGTGCAACTGAATTGAAGGAACTTGTTCTTCATAGCAATCATTTTTTGAACATGAACGTGGCAACATTTGTTAGGGCTTAATCCAAGATATGTAGTGGGGAAACTATATTTGCAAGATTATATTTTTTGAGATATATCAACGGCAAAATACTGCATCTTTAGTTAAGTACCTTTTTTTATTAATTTCTTGGGTTGTAGTTTGACACCAAACTATATTGGACATTAGATTTATGCTGGTTCTTGGAGCATGCATTTCTCCAACATTACCATCTCTTGCGACATGGAAACGACTAGTTTATGATGCTTACATAGTTGATTAGAAAATATACTTTACTAGGTAAGGATCGATGATATCGAGCGAAGAAGAGAAGTCCAGGGAGAAATGGAATAATGCAAATTCAATAATAAGACTATTCGTTCTTGGTTTTCCCTTTACAATAAGTTTACACTTGGACCACTTGGATTTGGGTGTTCCAGTCACTTTTGTTTGGTTGTTTCTCTTCTACCTGTTTTTTTTTTCAAGGTCGCATAGTGTTCTAAAGGGGCCCAAAGTCATTCTTATATTCTTACGAGAGGAATTTATAGGCTTGCATATTGCTACTGGACATGAAAATGTCAATTAACAGAGCGTTTGGATGATTCTTTCAATAATTACTTTAGCTACTTAACCTTTCTGTTTTTACTAGACTGGAAAAAAGGCAGAGTTGTGCTTACTTATTGTTAACTATGAAGGAATAGGGGGAAGTGGCCATTTAGTGAAAAATAAGCCTTTCACTTTCAACCCCTTATTGTACCTTTTGCAGCCATTCTATTCCTCTTTAATTTATAGATTCTGTTATTTTGTAGAATTTTTTTTTCTTTGGTTGCTTAGTCAATGTCCATGTGTTATATTTGTAACCCTTGGCATAAATGAATGGAGGATTCTCAAAGCTCAGTTTAATTATCTGAGCTAAGGTGAGTGATGAAGATGACTTTGAATGCTCATGTCATTGGTTTTTTATTTCATATGTATATATATATATACTCCTAGAATTTGCATTTTTCTATTATTAACAACTTTAATAATTTATATTTTATTCTCTGAACTTTTCAGGGCTTCAGAAAAATAGATCCCGAACGATGGGAATTTGCAAATGACGAATTTATAAGAGGGCAAAAACATCTCTTAAAAAATATTCACAGACGCAAGCCGGTACATAGCCATTCAACACCTCCCCTGGGAACCAATTTTTCCATGCCACTAGCAGAATCAGAAAGACAGGATCTTAAGGATGAGATTGGGAGGCTGGAGCATGATAAAAGCACTCTAATTATAGAGCTTCAGAAGCACACACAGAATCAGCAGGGCATGGATCTACAGATGAAGGATTTAGAGGAAAGATTGCAAGTCATGGCGTTTCGACAAAGAAATCTCGTCTCTTTCCTGGACCAAGTTATACAGAGGCCTGGGTTTCTCTCTACTCTCATCCAGCAATCTGATATCCACACCAAGAAGAGAAGATTGCCCAAGCATGATTATTTAATGGATGAAAAGAATAATTCTTTCCTTGGTTTGACCAGGGAGAGGCTTGATGGTTCATTCACCTCTTTATTGGACATTGAACCATTTGAAAAGATGGAATCTTCCTTAAATTCCTTAGAAACTTTCTTTCAAGAAGTAGGACAGGCTTCGGGTGAAGATGCGTTCTTCGAGGAGCGACCGCCTTGCTTAACTTCTGCTGTTGCTGCTACAGATATGCATGCTTCTTCAGGAGAAACTGATATTGATAGGCATTCAGGTCCATCTTCAAGTTGTCCTGAAGACATCAATTTATATCCAGATTCTCCTAGTCAAGCACAAAGCCCAATCATTCCTGTAGTAGATTTTCCTTCACTTCAAACTGGTATGAAGGGCAAGGTGTCTGATATCGATATGAACGCCGAGCCTGCAGCTCATTCAAGAGATCAAGGGATTGAGATTCCGGCTACTACAATGGCTTCAGGAGTTAATGATACATTCTGGGAGCAGTTCCTTACTGAGAATCCTTGTTACTCTGATGCACAGGAATCCCAATCAGAAAAAAGTGATGTAGATGATGGTAGAAGAGCTGAGGAAACCATGAAAGAGCAAGGAAGTTCATGGTGGAATAGGAAGAGTGTTGATAATTTAACAGAAAGAATGGGGAATCTTTCCTCAACTGAGAGAACTGATAGCTGAGTTATGCTGTTTTGCTGTGAAATATGTTCATTATAAGATAGGAAAGTGTAGTTGCTCTTTTTTGATGTTTTTGCTTGCAAATTTTGGTGGTCGACAGATCTGTATTTGTATGTTAACTTACAGTAGAATGTCATTTTAGCCTTTTTACTAATGAAGTAGAAATGCTTTTGTGTTGTTTACTGCTTTGTGCTTCATTAATGGTGTGCTTGTGGGACGAGATGGGAGATCATATTCTGAAACAAGGGAGAATTCTTTTTAGGGTAAATCTTCTAGCATAACATTGTTAGCTTTAAGGTTTTTTCTAGTCGTAAGGAGAAATTATTCTGTGCGGAATCCGGACTGGAAGAATCATTCGGATATGTGAGTGTACATACTGTGTACAAATTTGTACAAAGTGTGTATCAAATTTTTATACTTACTGTGTACACAGTGTATCACTAACAGTTGTACGATTCTTCTCGTTTGGACTCTGCACAGAATAATTTTTGCAATCGAAGGGTTGCTCCTACGGTTATAGATGCTTGCATAAAGGTCCACCAAGCAAAATGTTGTAGAAATATAATCCCGTTTTGGATGTAGAAAATGATCACATGATAAAAAGCTGTCATTCCTCATTTAGAAAAATATAAGGGATTTTTGGAATCCTTTTTTATTTAATTGATTGTGATTTTCATATGTATATGTATATATATTAGTGCCTAAACAAGAACAACTCACACCATATTTTTATTTTATATCAAAAATATAAATAAAATAAATATAAAAATTAAAAATAGAAAGTGATCTTAAAGATCATTTAGATTTTATTTTATTTTATTTATAATATAAAGCTTCTCTCTAGCATTTTTTTAAAGAGTTATTTAATCTACTATAATTTTACAATCACTGTTATGAAAAGCTGAAACTGTCCCAAACAGATCCATAATAATGAAGTGCAATAGAACATACATCTAAGTAAATTAAGATACTTGAATTGGACTTCTGTGGCCTACCTTATTGGAGACTTTTGTTTGTTTTAGATTTTATGAAATTTATTTGTTTGGATAGGTTCATAAGCAAACCATTATTAATGTTATTCATTTGGAGGATAAAGTTCCTATTCTTGTTGAAGATATTAATCAAATATCCAAAGAGCACAATAAGGAAAATTTCTCCAGTCAACGATGTAGCTAGAGAGAGAGAAGAACATTCATGGCAGAAAAAGAAAACAGTAGAACTGAAAGATATAAAAAAAATGAAGCAATCACACAGGTTGTCTTGATTTGTTAGTTGGGAGTTTTAACTATCAATCAAGAGGTCTTAGGATTGAGACTTACTTATATAATGTGTGTGTAAATTTGACTTAATTGACACAAATGTAAAAAAAAAAAAAAAAGGGTCAGTAAGCTTTGATTAAGGGTGCAAATGAGTCAAGTTGAGCTTGAGCCAGGGGGTGTTTGAGTTAAGCTCAACTATCAAATACCAAGCTCGAGCTCGAGCTCGAACTCGAGTCAATCTCAAAATCCAAGCTCGAGCTCGACTCGTCTTCATGTCGAGCGGCTCGTCGAGCTGCGCTGTCAAGCTCTGTCCCTCACCGTTGCGTCCGTCGTTTGGAGGTCCGTCGTAGTCCCGAGCCCGTCCGTCCGTCGTAGTCCCGACCTCCACCGTCTAGATCCATTTTCCCGAGTTCGTCTGTTGTTGTCCTGAGCGTAACAGTCAACATTCTGAGCTCGTAGTCGCATCCTCCGTTGTCATCCCGAGCTCGTCCGCCGTCGAGTGCTCAGTCGTTTAGGAATTTGGATTTCTCGCTCGTGAGCTCCATCATTTTGGATTTCCCAATCCCTAGCTCCGTCTCTTTGGAACTCATGCTCTCGATCTCCGTCTTCGAGCTACTCGACGAGCTGACGAGTCAAGCGGAGGCCTGTTCGAGCTCAAGCTCGACAAACCGTCGAGCTCGAAATCGTGTTCGAGCTCGGCTCGCAAGCTCGATAAGCTCGACTACTCGAGCCTGGTACTGAGTCGAGTCCGAGCCAGCTCGCTAGTCAGCTTGAATCATTTGCAACCATAGCTTGGATTCTGGAAACAATAATTATTCTATTTTTCTTTCTTCATTTTTGGTACTAGTTGTTCTATTAGTTAGTGTACTGCTTTGTTAATCTCTGATCTGTGAGAAACTAAGGCTGATTCCCTTAAGTTTTCTGGCTTAAAAAACTATTATTCTTAAATCTTTTCATTTAACTGAAGGAAAATTTATTTTTTTTAAGGAAAATTCTGAGAGATAGAGCTTTGTTGGTTTTTTTGAGATATGTGGGACATAATCTCTTTATATGTTGCATATGGTTATGTTTCAGTATGGTTTGTGATTAATGCTTCTCAATTAAGACTTAATTAAATACTCATTTGCCTTAGTCCTAAAAAGATAGGTATATTATTATTAAGGGCTGTATTTTTCAAATTTTAATGGAAGTTCTTACCATGCAAATAACCCATAAAATGAAGGTTTATATAAGTTGTATTAGGGATGTCAATTTTGAGCCACGGAACGGGTTCAGGTCGAACCCAAAAATGACCCGGCACTATTCGGGTCAACCCGTCTCGTTTTTACAAATGGGTCTATTTTCGGGACCCGAACCCGACCTAACCCCCCCCCGACATGACAATGCCGACAGCAGCTTCGCGACAGCGGTGTCCGGCGGCAGCGAGACGCTACAGCGACCAGCATGGCAGCGGGACAGATTGACCCCTGTGTTGGGTTCGAGTCGGATTTTCCGTTGACACCCCTAGTATCACGACCCAAAAACCGACCGGGACAGATCCCGCTCGCATCGGGCCGCGACACAACTATTGAAAATCCAGGATCTAGCTTTGGAATTTGCTTCAGACTTTCTTCCAAATATTAAATAGACAAAAAAATACATAGCTACTATAAACATCCAAATACAGAACAGTTCATCTATCTTTTTCTTTCATCAAAACAATCATATACATATACAGTACATGGCTTACAGAAAGAAAGAGCAGAACGGAACAGATAAGCCATGACTGCACAAAAATCAAAAGTACAAAATACCTAATCTCAGATTAGACACAGAACTTCTAGTGCAAGACTTCCTTCCCTTTCCCAGAACCTTAAAACCACGTAGAAAATAAGGATAAGCTAACAGCTCAGCAAGACATCACTCACCAATCAAAATCATCAGAAATTCACATCAGAAAATAGCCGTACGGAAATTGTAGAACAGACTGAACAGATACTTGATCAACAGAAATCAATCAACTGATACAAAAAATTGAAGTCATGTCGAATCGGAGTTCAGAACAGATATCCATATCGAATCGGAGTTCAGAACAAATATCATAAAGCTTTCAAGTCACAGAACAGACAGAATCGTACGGAATAACCAGAATCGTACAAAAATCAGATAAAATCATATTCATATCAGATGATTCTAATCAGATAATTCATAAAACAGATCAGATAAGTCACAGAACATATTATCAGATATCAAACATCATATTTCAGATAACATATCACATATCAGATTCACAGATCCTTATAGAATCTCTACGGATTCTGGCCCCTTATGCCTCCCTTCCCTGACACTTACAGAATCTCGACGGATTCTGGCCCCTTATGTCTCCCTTCCCTGACACTTACAGAATCTAAACGGATTTTGACCCCTTCTGTCTCCCTTTGTGCTTATAGCACCAGAACAGAACTTATTTTCAGATTTCAGATTTTAGATTTCCTTGACACTTACAAAATCTCAAAGGATCCTGACCCCTTATAACTTCCTTTTGATAGCATACAAACACTTCAATTCATTCAAGGAATCAATTCAGAAAAATCAGAATTCGTACGAAATTTCAGCGGCATAACTGCATTATACGGAATTTATATAAAATTCATAGATTTGAAAATTTACCAAATTATCATAGAATATCCACAACAACATTATAAGACTTTCATTGTACTGAAGTAACATTTTTCAACATCCCGGTAATTCACAGTTTAATTAAAACGCCGCATAATCCAAAATATCCGTTAAAAATCTTCCAGAAAATACTCAAAATGTGCACAATTACCATTTCAGAAACATACCAAAAGTTTCGCGATAAAACATTTATCAGTGCAAAATAAAATCAATTATTCGCAAACGGAAATAAAATCTAAAACAGAAAATGCGTCAAAAATCTCGTTTCTGAAAATTGAGAAAGGCGGAATGTGCCTTACCTCGAGTCGGTCAACTTTTCCAACTACGGCGACTGACAAAAACGAGTCGAAGTCGAACAAAAATTCACTTTTCTTCTTTTCCCTTCGTTTTTCTTTCTCCTGGGCTTTCTCTCTCTTCAAAAACGACACCATTTAGATATTTATTAAGCAGGATCGTCCAGGACGATGCCCAGATCGTCCCGGGACGAATTCCTCTGGACACGGATCGTACAGATGAAATTAATTCAAATTTATTTCGTCCCTGAGCGAAACTCTCGGGTTCAGTTCGTCCCGACCCTTCCAGGTTCGTACAGACGAAAATGACAGATTCTTCACAATTTTCTTCAGTTCGTACAGACGGTTCATCCCGTACTAATAGCACAAAAAAAAAAAAAATTCAAACATAAGGGTTTCACACCTAGGTTGTGTGAACTTTGTGAAATTATAGATTTAATGAATGAAGTATTCGTAAATATGTGTGTGAATTAGTGTGCTGGTTATGTCGAGGACTTAGAAACTCTAATATAAGAGATAATTTAGAGTGCGAATATATCCCTTATGATTCAGTGAAATAACGAGTATTTCTAGAACTCCTTAGTTAACTTGGTAGTTTGATTTGTGCAAATGACAAATTTAAGATATTTGGCTAAGAAGATTACTAACTAATTTGTGTATTTCGTGAAGTTCTAAGAATCTCATAACTATATCTTGTGATATATAGTATGATTTCATTAACAATTGATAAGAAGTTATAACTTTCTTGAGTTAGGCCCTATTTATATCATCATAGAATGGCGACCTAGTCATTTTGTTGGATGAGTTTAAGATAATTATAATTTCTAAGTTAATTACAATTTTCTTATTTGCTATAAAGCACCTCATATTGGCAATATTATTAGCATAATCTAATTTTTAGTGTAAATCACTTGATTTGTATGTTGGTTAGAGCATCAATATGA